CCGGTGTGTGTAGAAATTAAATGAGCCGGTTGAACAGTGACTACCCCTGTTTCTAGTACTAGTTACCGTAAACACACATCACTGAATAGCTGCTTCAGCTCACCTATCTCAGCATCCCGAACCTAGTTTTTCACGGTAGGAACATGTGCCAACTATATTTCGTCCCCACTTTCTGCACAGAAATCAAGCATTCGTTTCCACGGTGTCTGGTCAACGTAATAATAGCGCTTAACGCAACGTCTCATGTGAAATAAGACCTTGGGATATCTAACAGTGACCAATCCATTTGTCCCACTGCTGGTTTTCTATGTGTTCGCGGGATGTGATTTCATACATTACGCTTCATAAATGATTTTGCTGTTCTGTGCCCTTCTCAAGCGAACTTGGTTAGAATGCGAGAAGAAAACAATTGGGATTCGGTTATCCAATACTACACCATCGCTTTAAATCATGGAGAATTGTGGATGAGGCAGACTCAGTAGAACAAGCTGATCAATGATTTTATTGACTCAAACTGATAAGGAGATGAGACTAAAATACTAATATGTTGATCATCCTTAGTAGCACTGTCGTAGTTGCTGTTTCATTATCCTGAATCCTCGGTCTGCGCTTCCCAAAGTTACAGAGAGTGGAAGAAAATTCTGCAAATAAAGATATAATATGGAGCCCCATAGTGCCCCGCATGTTTCAGATCAGCTGGTTCTCTTTGACTGTAAGTAAATTTTAAATCTCAAGTTACCTGTGGGGAATAACATGATAAATCTTTTTAAATTTCAAGCCCCATAAAGTGAGAAATTCGCAGTCACGATAAAATCGATTACGTTTAAAGACTATATGACACCCATAAAGCGTAGTCATCAAGAGGATTGTTGGTAGCTGGGATTGTACAGATTTCTGTTGTTTTGTTCAGCGTGTCATAGCCTGCCTATTGTTCTGTTCCCTGGACTAGACCATTTGCAAGGAAGTTGCTATGAGCTACGCTGAGACAGCCATTTTGCAACGTTAGTCTACTCTCATCATGTGCTCACTTGCAAACTGGTATAAGCAAACTGGTACAAGCATCGGAGGCCAGAACACACTTTTTCCGGTGCTAAGATAAGCTGTGTGCTTATAAAAGATGCGCAGCTTCTGTTTGTAAAAGATCAGAAATGGCAACCAAATTTATCAACACATTCGCAGGTTACACGCTTGCCAGCCAGGTGTTTGATTACCGATCGCTCCTGTCTTACGGTTGAGCAGCTGGAAATGACTGAAGCAAATATGACATGTATGCACGCAAAAGAAACTAAATTGGGCTGCGTTTCTCCGAGGGTGGTGCTTTGATGACATACTCAGTGAGTGAATTTAGTGGGGAAGACGCCTAAGCCAAGGTCCTACTGACAAGAAAGGATGTAGCGATAGTACGTAGAGGAGAATAAAAAGAACGACAAAGTAACAAGCAAGTGACAAACTGGCTTCTCATGCTAGCCGGTGGGAAACGTATACTGTACAAGGCTGATTTGCATATGTACAGAACCAGTGTTTGTGGCTGAGGTTATTCAGACCATTTTTAATTGAAAAATCTCTTTGTTTTATAGGTATTCACCATTGGTCTCAGTTTAGAAACCTAAACTCTGAAATACAGGGTGTTGTAAACCGGCTTGATTTAACTCCCATTGTAGAGTACGCACGCGCATGGAGCAAGTGTGTTCATAAAAAGGCCAAAGGTTTTCTAAGATTTACACAAATACAACCGGTTACCACTCGCGTAGTAAGCAAGGATAAACTCAGTAACATCTTTGGTGCATGAACCAGTAGAAAGGAGGAACACTCGACTCCGCATGCTGAGTTGATTGCTTGATACTCTATAACTTTGGTTGGCGAAAGATGCATGAATTAATTTCAATGCTCCGCACACTGGATTGTTAGGGATTGTTTATTCAGTCAGGTGTTACACGGGTGGAATGAAAAGACACGGTTAGAAAGGGCCATTGGTCACGTAGTACATTCATTTGGATATTCATAACTACGCATAGATACTCGTAGAAGCGTGTCACCAGTTTGTAGGTTCCAAAGAATTTGTGCTTTTTTAAAGTGAAGAATAAAGCTGAGAATTAGCCACGAGTTCAGCTGGTTGCCCCTATGAGGTATTGATAATTTCCAGACGGTTGATTGGTTGCATTTTCAGCTCATCAACAGTGTCAGAAATGCTGATTCCGTCTCCTATACAGTTATTTTTTCTGCGCGTGAATGTAAATTTGGGAATGATGCAGTAGATGCTAAAATGAGAATTTTAAAAGCAATGTAACTAGGCCGTTTAGCTCTACTGTGTTCAGGTGGTCACGCATTTGACACGTCTCGTTTTTGAGTTCATGGCTAGATCGATGGCAAACGGTTATGAACGTAAACTGTAGAAAAACTACCATCAGCTGAATAACCTAAGGAATATATGGCCGAAGAATCGGGGAACTGAATTGGACGGCTGCTGTGTGACTTAGAATTTTTAGAAGGAACTCAACGATGGGCAATCATGCTTCCGCTTCTAGCACAAAATGAGGTTGTAATCAGCTGGTCAGAAGTAAATCTCAAAAGACTAAAATTTTCAGCTTTGAACGTACACTTAACACCTGCAACCGAGACAAACGGGATGAGACTGAGGTGCCTCCTTGGTATGTGAAAAACTGTGTGGTTTCAGCCATGCCTTTTAGTGGAAAATAAAACAGTTTTCGTGCGAATATAGTCACCTTAGTAAGAAAAATTCCCTAACCAGGGAGGATGTCATACTGAGATTTACTATCTGCCATGTGCCGTTATTAGGGTAGGTTCAGCTGTAGTGCAACTCCGTATGCTTGTTCACGGTAAATTCCGTATAATGTATCCCACAAGTCACTCAAGATACTTTGGTGGCCATTCATGAAGTATGAACGGTCCAAGCCTACGGCGAGTGCAGAGATAAATACTAGTCTTAGAACGGACGAGTTAGCTAACTCTTGGTTAGGCAAGCCAAGGGACTGATATGAAACTAAGCCTCTGAATATTCTTCCTTGCTACCAGATAAAATCCGGTGGAGCTCTTTCAGCTGCGTGAGCAGTTAGTGAAGCGTTGTGAAAATTTTGGCTTCTGAGAGTGGTTTGTACAGATAAACTGCATTAAATCAAACCTATCCTCAAAATCGAAACTCACTGTGTATCTGCATGAACCATAGCCGATGAATCAAGTGCCCTCTAGGAAATAAAATGCAGCAATCTGGCAAGAGTGAGACTACTCGAACCATCTTGTTTTAAGGAGGAAGACGAAGTAGTTGAGAGAAAATTTAACTGAAATTTAACTGCACCACTCTTGTAATCAATAAAATTTGCCTCACTTTAAGAGGCTCACCCCAAGGAGTATCTTTTGAGGGGCTGTTTTTATGGGGATGTGATTCAGGGGGGCCTCCGGGTAGACACTCTCCTGAGGGCGATCTTGCTAGTGGCGATAAACTTGATCTGGATTCCCGTGACCTATAGGTGTTACAAAGAAGTGCATGAAAAAGTAATTTTCACCAGCCAATTTCATGGAATGGCCACTTTAGGAATAACCAGACAATGAGCCTTTTAGTTCTTTGTTCTTTGGGTGCATCAACTCACTCGGATCGGGGTGGTTGGAGCACGTGCCACGCGTATGTGGTTATCAACTATTTTTGTTCTGGATTCCGACTAGCGAAACTCGGGTAACACATAGCCTGGGAGAAAGGAATGAAGGCCAGTGAGTTAGGCCTGGGTGTTTTCAAAGGAACGCGCTTCCTATCACGGGTTTCGCAATATATTCTTCTCTTTTCTTTGTGTGGACACAAAATATACAGTGACCCCAAAGCCTGTTGTAAATTATTGTCAAAGAATTCTCCTCACATTTTATTATTTGCTGAGAAACTACGCTTTGATCAAATGCACTAACGTAGTGATATCTTGAGATTGATGACCTAGGAGCAGCGCATGGACGTTGGGATTCTACGTTCACACCGAATGTGGATTTTGTAAAATTCTGCTTGGGTGTTCATCAAACGTCCATCGAGCTGTTAACACTGGTGATGGTTTCTGAACACGGTTTGACTACCTATGACTAACAGTTGTGTTTTTAAAGTTGTCGGGCTAGCGAAATACACTCATTTGCAAGCCAATTTGGTTATGCGGGAGACTCATCTGGAACCCAGCTGAATCTCTCGTTTACGGTGTTTTTAAGCAACAGTGCGGAACTCGTTTAAATGCTGTAAAATCAGCAGCCGATCGAGCAAACACTCGCAAAGATTTAGGGAATATATGGGTCGTATATTACGTCTATACAATGTATCGCGAAACCTCGAACATTGTGTCAACTGAAACATGAGGCGACCTGGTGCAGCACTTGCTTGAAAAACGTCATGAACGAGAGATTCAGCTGGGTTCTAATTGAGTCTCCTGCAACACCAAACTTGCTTCAAAATGAATGTATTTCGCTAGTTTCATGCAACTTGGGTTCAAGGAGAACCTAAGGTTGACGGAAACATGGGGACTGCGCCGACTGATGAGCCTCAAGAGGGAGAAAACCGGTTGCAGGTTGTCAAAAAAATTTCAGCAAATTTATGAGTAGTGTATTGCGTCTAATGATACTGGACTTGTTTTAATGAACCCAGGTCAAAGAAGACTACAATTCACATCAAACTGCGGAAAATAACACGCACTCCCACGGAGTATATATCCAAAAATGGTTGGAGCTGGAATACACTTGTGCATAAGTTAACTGTGCTTACCAAGTGGAAACTTTTGAGGCCTGATGATAGACTTTATATTATGAATGTTAGCTGTTCAGGCGTTGAAACCGTTCAGACTCCAATGATCTTCGTACTCTAAAGGATACAAACACCACCTGTTTTGCAAGGCTATGTGTCATTTTCAAGTAAAAACAGTTTTGAGCACATGCTTTAAAGCCCACATTTCTTCATTCCCCTGTATGAGAACAACGACATGTTTTCTATTCTAAATGATCTCATTGCATTCTTACTTCAGGATAAGGAAAACTGTCCTACATGTCGCCGTCTATTGCAATTACCATCAAGTCATCAGTTGATTCAGGACCACTTTGGAGAGGATCTATACGATGATGACAAGGAATCAGAAGATGACAAAGAAGATTCAGGTCTGGAGGTAGTAGGTGAGACTGGTGATTATATCGAATGTCGCATATTAAGGCGCATTAAGCAGAAACGAGAGGATTTTACAGAACCGAAAGTGCGTCTTCTAAAACCTAAACGGAACGGGGCGTTTGTCTCACAAACAAATATATATTCTTCTACTACAAGGAAGAAGGGTCTGTCCAAGGTTGAGTTGCCAACTGGAGGGTATAAAGAGATCATACCAATAGAAGACAATAGCTTTGAGGTCGAAGTCGAATCTGGCGAATCAACCGAGGATCATATTAATTATGATCTGGTGGACAACCAAGTGAAACCGGTGGAGAAGGAATTGAAGGGAAAAAATGATGGGGTAAACAGTGATGGGGAGAAGCAAGATGAGGGTAGATTAGAAAAAACATTCAAAGAAGCTGAAGAAAGCTTTCAGAAAGGTGGGAGAGACAAAACTGAGGAAGAGCTAGATAGGACCAACAGAAGTGTTCAAGATGACGACCAGCAGCACGACTACGACGAAAATGACATTATCGCTGATGATACAGAAGGCCCTATCAAAAGCGTCACCATAGAAAAACCTGAACAGCGTATTAGCGAGGTACTCCAAAAAGATACTTCTGGAACGTCTGTCGTACTGGAGGGACACAAAGAAGAGTTGGCCTTCAAGAAGAAAACTGATAAGAGGAAGATTAACAGAAATTCAGGAAACTCAGGAAAACAAAAGAGACTGGAGACACCAGAACTGCAAGAAGAGGGATTACGACGACTGGAAAAGTTTGTCAGCTGGACAAAAAGTAAACAGCCACTGGAGCAACCAGAGGACAGCGCAACTGACTGTCATTTGCCAGAAATGGACACCAATAGTCCAGGCGTTCTCGCCAGTCAGTATTTTGAAGAAGCAGTTGACGGTACAGAAGAGGCCGATGAGGAAACAGATGAAAACGAGGCCATCAAAGCGCTGAGCATTGATGATATCGAAGATGATGAGGGGGATGATGAGGTTGATGAGGAACTGGACGATGAATCCGATTACGAGGATGTTGACGATCCGAACTATTCATCTTGGCAACGAATGCACGCCGTAATAGAGGTTTCTCCCGGTAAGCAGAAAGCACGGTCGGTTGTGGTGATACCTGCACTAATACAGTAGATTGCTCCAAATAAAAGCATGCATGTGCTATGGATTCGTGTGTCTCCCGGACTTCCCGAATAAGTTAGAATCATAGGTTTCCTTTAGCTCTACTTATGGCAACGAAGAAAATGAGCATACACAGTGCCGGATCATTTAAGGGAGCAGCACCTTCTTCAAGTTCCTCTTCCCTGTTATAGGTCAGCGTTCAATCACAAGGCAAAATATACGAACAGACCGAATTCCCACAGACTAACCTGGATATGATGTTCTTACCACCATCCCCGGGAACGTTGGAATCATTCAGCACACCCGATTAAGTTGTCGTCAGACGACGTTGACTTGGTTTCATCTTCCAAGTGGATTATTTGTGTACGAATTTGTCATGGAGGTAACAGCTTCATATAGCGTATTCCTTTACTGGAGATATCCCTGGTGAACGAGTTCGATCGATGCAGTTTATCTCTGCCGCCACCCCTAATTTGTGTTATCCTGCCTCTCTGGTACCAACATCTACAGCAACTATTCCTCTACGCAAGTGGAAACCTTCGCTGTTTCTGGTCCCATCTTAACGGCTAAACGTTGAAACTATGGTGAAATAATCTGAATTTGCAGATAAAAGCACCAACTTTTCTGAAGCTTCTGTTTTCTGCCAACCCTGTCAAAGACCATTTTGGAGATTTTTACTGCTTTTTATGGAAAAAAAGTTTCTAGAACTCGCAATGCTAGACCGAAAAGAAAACATGACTTGTCCTCTGGTAAAACTCAATGCCCACCCAATACCTACTGGATGAACTGAGTGCTAAACAAACTCCCAGTAGGATTAGCCGAGCTGTGGCCGCTGCACTAAAAAGTTTTGCATGACCAAAGACCATCTAGGAGACCAGAGCAAGTCCCCATAAAACAAGTTGAAGTCGTCGTATTCAGTAAGATATTTTAGTGCGCAAGTCTCAAGCACGCTAGCGCAGGACACGGTGATGTGGATCGTTTCAACTCCAAGTGCTGTCAGCACAGTACTCTTAGGCTTACGATAAAGAACAAGCTGTCTTATGTTTGTCAAAAAATAAACAAGTGATTACGGACGAGAAGTCAAACTTACTGGCAAGCCATCATGAGCTAGACGGATAAGCCACGTCACATCTCATTCACGCTGCTTCGGAAGCTTGCGGTGTGGTCAGTAGTGAGGTATTTTCAACCGTGAAACAACCTTACTTGTTGTAACACCTCAGGGTTTCAGCCAGACCGGAACATGTTGTAGGCTGCTCTTCAACTGCTCTTCGACCATATTTTGATGCGGTGAAGTCTGTCGACACCTGTCACGCTCAAAAACAGTCAAGCCTGGGTTGTTTTTCGGAGGACGTTCTAAACCCGAGGGGCTTGTAATGAACCTGGAGGCCTTTCAGCTTGACCCCAAGTACTGCGTTTCTTAAGTTCAAAGGAAGGGTAGTATGGGTGCAGGCATGGAAATTCGGCTAAAAGTATCGGGAAATGCAGTCTATAATGTTTAAAACAGAAAAAGATGAAAAGAAGTCACCATAGACAGCATTCCCTTCAACAATGCACTATGGAGGGGTTTTCGCTGTAGTATGCACTCCAAATTCTTGCTGGGACTAGATCTGGGCTAGTCACAGCGAAGTCTGTTTGGTTGAATTTAAACCCTTCTAATGTGTGTTTTAGATTTCGTACGGATGAAGTGCGTGGGATTTCGTTCATTCACGAAACATGATAAAAAATTTCTTCGACAAAGGTTTTGCATGAAAGGTAGATTTTCAGGCCTTAGTTCATCCATGAAGATGAGTTTTACCAACAATTTTTCATCTTAAGAGTTTTGAAAGAGCAGTGCAATTTTTGAATTTAGGGGTCTTTGAATGACGCTATTTTGCACGGCTTACAGGGGATCGTTTTTTTATAATTTGAAGCCGGACACATTTACGTCCCTCAAACAGACTCACTCATTTTTTTCAGTAGGTAATAAGGATTCATTTTACAGCAACGGAGACCTGTGGCATTTTAAGATAAACGGAGGAGAGTGACGTGTTTACTGAGCTCGGAAAATCCATCTTCTGACTGGATGGGGGTAATGTGACACAGGGAGGTGAACGTTTTGAATTCTCTACCAGGAATCCACACCATTTGATTCCATCCTAATATGCTGACAACCGTCTCTGGGAGTCCGCTGTTTGATGTTGACAGCGAGTTTCCTATTACAAAGAGAACTTTCCTCGGGGATAAAGGGAACACCAAGCGCAGGCAAAAAAATGGAACTGTTCGTGTACAGATACTGAATATCAGTCAATTGTTTATGTAAGGTGGAGCATATTTTGTAGACTTCAAAGTCACTGTCCACTTTAAGTTGTGGCGTCCATATCTGTCCATCTTTGATCATTTGTGTGAGTGTGCCACGATTGTGCGCATTCGTTCAGTTAAAGCACTGCCCCAGTAATAATAGCTTAAATATCAGCCACCAGAGTGGCAGAATAATGCACATGAGTTGGTACTCAACACCCCGTAGTGATATCGGTGTATTTGTCCCGTTTGAGAGTTGTGTTTGCATCAGGACAACAAAGGTGAGCCATAAATACCAGGTGTACTGCGTCGGCACAACCGAAATGGCAACATAACATGGTATCCCCATAAAGGTCACATTTGCTGTTTAAATAATCAACCATGGCGGAATAACTTGAAGTTTGTCCACTATTCTACTCACTTTTTATTACGATTGCACCAGCCAAGAGAAAGCAGTCGCATGTGGCACTTAGCAAAGGATGGAATAATAAACCAACAATTGCGAACGCACGCAGTCACACTACTGTACCGGAAGGAGTCCTGACAAGGGGAAAATTTTATAAATCACAAGCCATGTAGTAAAACACGAGTGACACATTTGAATGATTATGTCGGGCTGGACTCAAGAGATTCCATTTGATTTTAGACTAATTCACCACGGTGATTAAGCAAGAAGCTGGTTTACTTGTTAGAATGTCATCTTCAGTCAGTCGTTATTAGGAACAGGCACATTAATTCCATGTATCTGGTATGCTGTGAAATGGGGTCAAGGTCAGTCGTCAGTTGACTAGCTTCCGAGACAGAATCGGGGCTTGTTTATTTATCATCCTCGTCATAAATGTAAGATTCCCGGAACTTGGCTAATTGTCGTTCATAAATTGAACCATAAAAACATAACGTTCGTTTCTTTGGATGCAGGTATGCTTCCACTGGTTATATGTATTCAGGATTTCTGTATATTTTAGACACCAGAAATGCTTGTTAGCTCGCAATTCATTTCACCCCCGATAAAGGTTCAGTGGTGCTTGTTCATTTCAACATATGGTAAAATAACCATTTAATCAACAAATATTTTGATGTAAACGATTTTTCAGGCACCCGAAAATTGTTGGCTGTGAAGCCGACTGTACAAACGAAAAAGTCTAAAGCTACAAACACTCCTGCGCCTTCAAAGAAGTCTAACGGAAAACAGACGGTAGCCAAGAAAACAAAACAGGCATTTGCTAAAAAGAAGACACTTGATGCTCTCAAACAGAAACCAGTTGCTCTTTCAATAAAGGCCATCCATAGTAAAATTGCTGAGAAGAAACACCAGCCATCCGACGACTTGAGCTTGCACCACTTTTCATCACTCCGCGAAAGAACTACACCAGCTCCTAAGAAGAAGCACATCCGTGTGGTGGGCACTATCAACGATCATGACTGTGACGGGATTCCAGACGATATTGATGAGGATATTGACAATGATGGCCTTCTGGATCGCACTCAGGATTCTGACTGGGACGGAGAACTCAATCACGTAGACCTGGATGATGACAATGATGGTAAGTTTATGAAATTGATTGCGTGTGAAGTTGAATGCAGTACGGATGGCGAAGCTCGACTGGACCATTCAAACGTTGGCCATGCCACTCTGGGTATTGTTTCGTTATGACTGCAAGTTCCTCTTCCTAAATCATATACAGAATTTTCAACTGGCCCTTCAGGCGTCTTGCGTAGCTACTGAATTTTAGAAATTCAGTGTACCTGAAGATGGTCGATTTCCCCGTACGGACACCATTCACTGCCAGTTAGAAAGTAATCCGCCCACTGAATGCCTCTGTTGTTCTAAAGCACCTACCATGGGTAGCTGTATATGACACGGTTAAGTGACACTGTTTGGTCTGAAGCAAGAGTGAACAGTTTTAGCACCGTAAAAGTGTCTGAGAGCATGATGAACCGGCTTTTCCGATTTAAAAGACTTCAAGGCTGTCTTCACAGATATTGAATGGTGCATTGTGTTCGTTCAGCCGCGTCCTTTTCTGATAGACTTGTGAGACGAGCGAACTTCACGTCAAAGGATCCCATAAACTCAGGCTTCTTTGATTTCGGCGAAGGCTCAGATAATCTCACGCTAATCAGTAGTCACGTATAAATATTGTTTCATTCAAGATAGGTGAGTGATAAAGTGTTTCCGAAGTCGTGAAAGTGTGACTTACCGATATGTAGAAGTGAACCTGTCTGCATTCTGTGTGACAGAGGTGGCCATCAGTGAAACTTCCTAAAGCCGGACTATTTAGGGTTGCGTGGTGTCAGCGGGTTAGTTTCTGTGGCCTACAATTGCGCTCTAGAACTATCTCCGTTGCCTTGTTTTACTCCTTTTGTACTGCATTCGGTGCACTGTTAACTGAACGTTTTGGCTTACAGAGGTGGGAAAATCAATTGAGGAATGCCTACTTTTCGTTCAAAATAAACAACAGAGTTATACTGAGTCCGATTTCCGAGTGGCATATTTTGAGGCATGTTTCTGTTGTTTCAGATCCAGTTTCTCGACAGATTCCTTAAAATGACGGTACATACAGTCCGACATTCTGTCAGGTTAAGTTGAAACTTGAGTTGAAATTTAACGAGGCAAAATCATTCCTTGGTGAGGGGAAGAAGTATCGAATATTGGCCTAATAGAATTCCAGAACAAACAAGGGATCAACTTTTGGCTGAAAAATCTCAAAAATCAGAGACTGGCTTAACTGCCATGTCGCTAAAATCATCGCTATCAAACGTTTAAGCGTCTCCCTTTACAACAACGCCATCGTTTCTCCTGTCCTGTTCTATGTTTGTTCATACCAAATCGGAAAACACCATATATTGGATTTCAGTTGTTACTGACGGTCACCAGCGGCGTATGTCATTATTGGTGTAACTAGGCAACGCGTGAACAATCTCATGAAATCAACCCTTTTGACCTGAATATCTAGCACACGAAAGTCACTGAAAGTTTCCATCTTAAGAAGTAACTCTGTCTTTCTCTCTAATGAACTCAAACTTATCCACTTCGGCTTTGATGTTTGTGTTTACCTGAGAGAGATTACAATGAGTAGTCTCCAACCAGCAGAACTGTCTCTTTAACTAGTGAGTCTTCCATCAGGAGGGAGAGTCCGCGGTATGGAATAATTTGCTCTGGTTAGGGAGTTTATTTTGCTGGACACTTGCACACAATTACCAGGTGGAGCTTGGTTCATTGGTATTTATTTGTTCCTCAGGGATTCCTGATACAGAGGATGATGACGCCAATGGAGATGGGATCCTCGACTGCAGAGTGGACACTTCTGACCATGCATTCGTAGTCAGATTTAAGACAAAGAAGCGATCAGCCGATAGTGACATGGATGGTATCCCTGACGAGGTGGACGGAGATGACGATGATGACGGCATCCCGGACATGCTGGAAGACGAAGATGGAGATCAAATTCCTGATCTTTTCAAATTGACATTGAAAGACAGTGGGTTTGTAGGAAAAACATTTTGTGGGTATTTTGACATACATCATATATATTTTTTTAACGGCCCCACAAAAATTAAGAATGATCCTAGTGCAAATCAACACAAGTGTTGAAATAAATAAGCTTTTGTTGCTAAATAGAAGGAAAATTACTCCTTCCCGTGGCTTGTATATTGAAAATAAAAAGGAGAAATAAGCTTCGATTCTGCTTTCAGCGTTGTTTTCAAATGAGAACACATATCCAAAGCTCTTTATTTTGGATTATTTGAAGGTATAGCAGACAAATGGTGACGTTTGGTCGTTTACCATTAGCTGACTTCTGCGGATTGAAGTTCAAATAAGCTTCCAAAGAGTACCGTTATCTACGAAGCTTTGTGGTTGATTCATAGCCATGAGTGGTTGGTGTTTCCATTTGTGATCAGACACACTAATCGGACACAATAAACCGGCAAATAGCTCTATCCCGGTACTCCAGCTTCGAATGTACGGGTAGTAAATAATGGAACCCTTACTTAAAAGCGAAAGGCACTCAAGTGACATTGAATGTAGTATTTATTATTGCACAACGGGAATCTATTAAATGTGGTCATGCTAAAATGTCCATACTAGGATAATTTACTGTTATTATTGGGCAGATATTACTGTCAAACTACCAGATATTTTGTTGTTTTGTTTATTCTGGGTGTGAGCAGGATTTGTATAAATTGTGCTTACATCAGCATCCCTTGTACAGTCTTTCAGAGGTGGACTGTTCGAAAGCGACGTGATTAGGAAATTATTCATTTGTGGATTTGTATATCATTTGGTCATACTGATATAAGTTAATCTAAACGACCTTGACAAAAGTTGAGTTTTATGAATAAGCGACAGAATGTGTGTAGATCAGTCTACAACCGTTGTAATGGAACAAGACGCTATCAGTAGATATTTATTGTTGCCAGATTGTTTTTGTTGTTTTTATTCTGGACTAGCAGAGTTGTAGGTCGACATGACCTTGTGCCTGTTAGTTTTACGATTTGTTCTACAATGTTATCGCATCTTAGGCCCAAAAACACAGTAAAGGTGCTCCCAAAGCGTTACATTTAAGGTTGCCACCAGGGGAGTCAATGAAGCGATTACGTCAGGCGATGAGCACAGCTTTAAACGCCGCAGCGGCATTTTCTTTAGTGGAACCTTTCAGCTTAAGAAGCCCCAAATCACACACAGCAATTTCCAGCAACTAGGTCCGTTTCCGGACATGCCCAACATACCAACCAGGGTGGAAGGTGGTGTGACCTTAAAACGTGCAAGGAGACCAGCTACTTACATAACCCTTGTATCGATCGTTACCATAGCACATTCGAACAGCAGCCGATAGTGCGCTTCACTTCACGTGACCCTTACGTGCATCTGGTTTCCACCGCGCACAGAAAGTGGGATTGTGATTGGCTGGGGATGAACGACCGCCTGGGCGTGGATATTTCAAAGTGGGGAAAGTAGAAAGTGCACCATCGATTTTAATATCAGTTCGCAACGTGCGCGCTATTTTCGTTTTGTAGCAGGCACGTGTGTACCATACAGATGTTGAGTGAATGATAAAGGACTGTTCAAAAGTGCAGGCCTACGAAGGTTGGATGACTATTTTCTGGTCAATTATTATGTACTGGTTATCAAAGCGACTGTTTTCAAATAGGCGTGAAATAAAAAAATCTAACTAAATTCGAGAAAAGGCGTTCAACGGGGTAAACAGTTTCAGATGCTTAGAATAGGTCAGTAGGTCATCTTCGTTTATGGTAAGCGTGATTTAAAAGTAAATACACACACTCATTGGCTGGAAGGAAAGTTGTGAACAACTAACTCTGAAAGAACCTCATGTATATTTCAAATGTTTGCAGTTGTTTTAAGAAAAAATACTACTTATATCCGGATTCAAGGGGTTTTGGCTTTACAAGCTGGGTTTCGCTCCACCGTCACCGAACTTCCGTTATTCAAACCCAGAATTACTGGACTTAGTTATCGAAGCCATCTGGTGGCTAAATCGAAAAAAATGGAGAAAGCCTGATTCAGACGGATGTGGTAAATACAACATCAGACTGATGGTTCTACTGCGTGTAACACGAATTTCGCTGCTGTTTAGAAGAGTGCTCAAAGGCTGGCTATGAAGATTTTACATCACATAACAATCAAGAGAGAAGAAACACCAATTCCGTTCAGCAGAATGTTTGCACAGCCTAACGTGAGATTTTTTAGAACAATATTAACATCACTGGCAAGGACAGTAGTGTGGTAAAGTTGTTATCATCACTTGTGCTTACTACTAATAGGTACTATGCCGAATTTCACTGACTGAACTTGCCACCCGTCCCGGGTAATACGAAGCATGGTCAAGAATCTTCCAAGTCTCATACAACGAATCCAGTTAAGTGAAATATAGTCCTCTGACGGATGCCTTTTGGCCTTATGTATCTACCCACTTATTGCCGCATCCAGTTACCTTGTCTATATGGATCAACTAGTAAAGCGTTTTGACATACGCTACTCAAGGGGCAGAAAAGAAGAGGAAAGGGGAGATGAGGAATAAAGAACCAAAACTGTTCCCGATTTCAACAAAACTGGAAGTTCTAATTTATAGTTAGTCCGACAGCTGATGACCTTAATGAGTAGGGGAAATAGTACTGCGATTAGTATTGCCTAAGCAGGGGAGTCGCTCCCTTTCCAATCATCTAACAAGAACAACCAGTTCACCGATTCCTGGTAGAATCGCCGACAAAGAGACTGAAAATCAAATTTAAAATACCATGTAACAATCTGGGAAACCCATTGCACTAGACAGACAACCTAACGATTCAAGAACTGCAATTCCGGAACTCCAGATGTTAAGAAGCCTTTCACACAGAAGTAACTATTTCGGTGAATACGACTTGTATAAAAAGTGACCTGCTCAAGGAAACTCAAAATTTGATCACAAAATATTTCCGAGTCCGAAAATTCATTTGCGACACACTTTTGCTCTCATGAATAACACCGATAACCACAGGTCGGTAAAAAATTGTAAATATACAACAATATAAAATCAAATGTGCGTGGGACCGATTGTTCTTGACAAACCCCTTGGTGCCATTGTCAAAAAGAAACCGAGTATAGGCACCAAATAAGGATGGTGAGCACGGATTTTTGGATAGTAGAACACTCTACTTACAAGACACACCAGAAAATCATCTAGGCATTCATTTTATTTTTAAGTCTAGATATATCCTAGGATGCACTGTCCCTAACAAAATCTTGGCATTTACAAGAAACATTTTTGTAGGAGAAGCGTCGTCCTTTTCCGTTTGGAACTGACAGACTTGGTTAGCTAATGTGGCAGTCATTGACACCTAATTTATCCGTCCTACTGAGACCTACTTTCAAACGTTACTTGATTCTCAGTCGAATCTGAAAAAGACCTTCATGAGCTTACCAAACGTATGTCACGCTATGGTTGGCACGATCACGATTGTGACGGCATTCCCGATGATTTGGATCCAGACGATGATAATGATGGGTTCTTCGACAACAAGCAAGTAAGTACCCGGTCCCATTTGCATATGGGGCCTTTTTATCCTGAAGAATTTCGATCTCGTCTCTTATTTCAATCAGAGAGCAACACACGATGGAATAAGTTCGTTTTATGATGTGAATAAAAGACGGACGAAGTGGGGGAACCTTCAGCTTGTGACATTTTGCTCAACAGTTAATGGTTGTGCTGGTTCCACTGTATATCTAGTGGCGAGGTAGCACCCATTTTTGGCTTAGCCCGTCACAGCGCGCTTTTCAGCTGAATCCGGCGCCGGATGAAGGACGCCACATGCACTGAGCGATGCATGCAAGCAGTTCTGCACCTTGCAACTCGCTGTACGCGAGACTGAGCAAGTGCTGGAAATGAACAGAAGTGGCTAATTTGAAGATAATCCACGTATCCAACTAATAATCTATAACTGCCAAATTAGCTTGAGCCAGCTAAGCACTTGGAATTCTTACTGTATGGTGAAGACAGTCTGGGGACTCGAATTACTGTCTATACGCACGTATGGCTATCTAGCACAGCAAATAATCAGGGTGCTCTGTACAACCTTGGCTACAACAAGAGGCTTCGAGAATCGTTGTGTGCTAGACAGTGTCCAGAGTGGTACACTAGCCAATTTCAAAACCGAATGGGAAAAACAGTCGACGCGATGGTTTCTAATTCAGTTAGATTGAGGGCTTGTTTTATCAGTAGGCCAAGCTAAGGTTACACCCTGTAGGTAGCCAAGACTTGGTTTGCTCTGTTCTGTACGATGGTGCATCACCAAATTCATCTGGTAGTGTGCTCGCTGTTTTCAGATGGGTACACGACATTTGAATAAATGGTGACTACCATAGCACTCAGTCTTTAGTCAATGTACATTGATTAATCAGGTTGATGGAAATTCTGAGCTAGAATTCCCTCAGAAACTCAGTTTTCTCTCTCGAAATATCCTCGGCTTCCTTCCGCAAATCCACAGTAAATCGAATTGACTTCTCTCGATTATGAGTTTGCTTCCAACATTTACTCATTAATTACTAGTGCAAAACCGCGAACATAGTGGCCAGGATAACAACAGAACAAGTAGAATGAGATAGAAAGGGCACAAATTCCATTCATATGACGTTACGCGAAAAGTTGAAGAAAATTCTAAACAGTTAGCTAGGGATTTCGACCTACTTGGCCTGTCTGATGTGTTCCAAGAAGGGCAAAATGGTGGCAGACTGTCCAGTTTCCGTCGATTTTATATATGGTTTTATATAAAAGCAAACACTTCCGTATCCTCAGTATCATTATAACTTAAACTCGAGCAGGTACTTATGCAGCAAGAGATGACATCAAGTTTTAGATGATATAAAAAGCTGATTCAGTTGGAGCGGTATTCCACTATTTGAAAAAGATACTATAATATCTTACTGATTCGCACCATTCTATGTGAGTTGTAGGGTTGGACCACATGCCTCATGAGGCAGTGTTTAATTTTCCTCTGAATCTATCGACCTTGGCGGAGACAGTCTGACCAATGGGTTTACCAGGGTTGCTTTGAAAGTCAAATCTACGATTTGTATAAGTGCAGTATACAGTTATCAAAGAAAGTTTTCTATAGGCACCTTTCTCTCTTAATTTGTGACCATAAGATTTATTCCAGGTCGCTTTAATCGAACTGCTTCTTCGAGCAGTGGTACGGCATGCGATTAGAAAGTCAACCAGCTTGTCACTTCTGTATTTGTTTAGGCGGTTCTGCTAGCAGTGACTTCCCTATGAAGTAGTGACAATTTAAACAATCCTTTACAATGACAAACTGAATGGAAGTTGTCAAGGTGAGTGAAGGTCTGTTGTCTACATATCCTGTTACAGATTAAATTGTCTGTACAGGCTACCAGTATGGAGCATTTGGATGCTGGGTGCTGCCCGGATCAGTAGAGTTGGTTGAACTTGCTGCATATCATACTCCAACCCCAGATTTTAGACAGTTCCTTCAGGTAATGAGAAAGTATCCGGTTAAAAAGGACTAGTATGTGTTAATTCTGCTTAAAAGAATTAGACTCACGGTTCAAAGGAGAATTATCTAATCAAGTCGAACCCACTTGTCACTGACATTCTCTAGCAGTGAACTCAGTAAATTGGACCAAACTTACACAGAACTGCCTTGTTTTAATGAATCTTATGTAGATATGCCCGTATGCTTACGCTAAAGCCACAGATGATAGTATAACATAGAGTATTGAGCAATGATATGTCAACTTCATCGTACTTATAGATCAGTGGATTCTCCTTATTGGCTATGAATCGCTGCTCATCTGAGGGTTGATGAAACAGTTTCACTAAGGCCACAAATTTTACCTGACATTGAACTGAAATACCTATATGACTTCACCCCCACAACGGAGTGCACGATGGGTGCGATATTTTTTATAAGTCGTCATGATAACCACTTCCCGGTCGTTAACTCGCCTCACATTCTTAGTACCATGTGCAGCAGGAGACACCATACGCAAACAAACGTGAAAAACGTAATTCTCATAGAACCCCTCACGTTAACAAAACTTTGTCCAACAATGTTTAGTTTGTTGCAACTAGCATTCACATGTCGATAGGATAAACTGTAAGTTTTGAACCCCAGCCTTGGATACCCTTTCACCTGACTCATCATGGGTATTTGTTGCCAAATGGACATGACTTGGAGAACATTCCAATTAACTGAATAGGAAATGGTGAATTCCAGCGGTGAACAAGGATGAGCGAAAGTGAGCTTTCTTCGTCGAATTTATCTGAAGAAAGTGCTATAGTTCGCTGAAATCCGGAGAAATTGACGGGTAAAGCCACCGCTTTGGTACAGAAGAATTCGTGCTGGTGCTTATTGCTACTACCATAATACCCGGATCGAATAGTATCTACCTCTCAACAGACTTCATTTCCACGTAGCGATCTTACTCCCCCGGGTTCATATCAACGTCATCGGTTTGCACCTAGAAACTAATTCTGTTCCGCGCAAACAGCTATAGTGCATCTATTTTACGTAGGCAAACGTAACTAGGATGTTCAAAATGTTTTTCTGCACAGAGCAGAGTTAAATCCAATATTTTGCATATAAACACCTGAAGGCGAGACCGGTTGAAACATTAGAGCATTCACTTATCAAATATTATTGCTTTTATTGGATCCAGTGGCAGGATCCGACAGGATCAATTTAAGTATAAGTATAAGTTTGGTCACTCCGCCCATTAGTGGTACATTGGCTGCAACGGGCGTTCAGCTCCTTCTGTGATGACAACACTTAACGACTTCGAACCTGCAATCTACGAATTAGTCCCAATCAAGACAGCAATCTGACTATAAATAGCAAAGTAATAGCATAATGAAAAAGCAAACTATTTACCCTCCATGGACTACTACCCTGCCAAAAAATGCCGATCACAGTAGCAGAGAAGATGGCTATCCGTAAAATCTCACTCCAGTTTGGGTTGACTGAAACCTACAAGGGCGTTGAATGAACAGCAGAGAATGTCACTCACATTTTGGTCTAGTCCTGGCAAAATAGCTCGAAGAACAACTTGATCTGCACTGAACTACCTAAAGTTGTCTCGCCATTTGCGCAGGTAGGTAGGATGAGATAAATTCCTGTACTGAACGGTACCAAGATAAAACAATTTGGATTACAGGGCTGCGTCGTTTGATAATGTGGTAGTTGACTAACTTATTTGGGGGTGGATATTGTGAATCGTTGGGCCTGAGTGAAACTGCTGGAAGCATGCTTTTTTGTAGAAAAATTCTTTCGCATTTATACTGCCAAAGCATTTAGAACATCGCTTCGGAGTTATTAGATTTAATAAGTGTAGAGTATTGTGAGTTAAAATACTGTTCAATAGCCTAGGTGTTGCCTGGTCCCAAGGCTTGAGTAGGCCAACCTGTCGCTCACTGGTCACCTAACAGGGTCTTTGAGGACAATTGCTGTATGGTTCTGCATAAATTACATTAAAGAGGTTCAAACAGTGAATGTTTGGTGCAGTTACACGCCTACTCCCATCCACTTACCAGAGTGAAGTGGATTCGCAACTTTCAGATTTAGGCACCTTTTTTGAACTTCATATCGACAGGCATATAACTTCTGACTAGAGACCACTGTCAAGACAGACATAAAGATCAGTGTATCTCTTGGAGACTTTCCATGGTCAGATCAGAAAAATCACTTGGTATTAGAGGTTACCATAAGTTGAACTCTTTAGATAATCCCTGTAAAAATGGATGGCCATAATAGAAATGGAAAATAGAGAAAGCACGTGATAATATTCGGTTACTTAGGAAAAAATATAAACACCGTTGAATATGCTTCTCTTTTTAACAAAGAATTCACGTTACATACCGCAATTAAATGCCACTGGTTTTCGGATCCGAATTTCCTAATATGAAAAGGACCCTGAAAACCTTGTTAAAAAACCAGTTTTTTGTGAAAAACACTGCCCCTGGGTATTGATTTCACTGATGGCCCCGACTTCAAATCCAAGTAGACTAATCGGCCATTTTGCTGTGTGTGACAAGCGTAATCCAAATACAAGATACATGCACTCGAGTAAAGGATCACTTACTATCATCATAATCATGGACAGCATGACATCAGTGTTAAACAGTGATGTTTCGCTGCCATACAACCATTTATTTGAAGGCCTTATGGTGAAGAGAAGGACAGGGAAAGGACTTATTGGTACCTCACTACAATCATTCTGACGTGTCCACACCTCCAGATACTCATTCAGGCAATCTGGATAGAAAATGACAACAAAACACCAATGACACTATTAGTAGCCATATCTTGCAGCGTCTCCAGCCAAGCTCAGTGGGGATGACGCGGTTTCCACCCTGGAAGACGACTAGCACCGACAGCACGTAAACGTTTCGTGCTCTCTTTCATACCTCTCTGCCAGGTCAAGGGTTGGTCACCTCTCTGTTTCCGCCACTCTGAACTGGTTACGGAAAACAGTACTCTGTTCGGCAAACGATGCTTCGGCACACGATGCTTCG